TTTTTTACCCAAGCTAACACGCCCATTTTGCGCGGTCGCCCCTAAAACTACCTCCCGGCGAAACAAAGATCAATGCACGTGAATCTTTTTTCAGTAACAGAGTCGTTGCAGCGTCGAATGCTCTCCCCAAAGAGGTTGCCCTCTTTACCTTTTTGAATACATTTAAGACCAAACTGGGGCAGAAGAGACAGGTGAGATGGCACCCGACACTGATTCTTCTGTCTCACGCGAATATGTTGCGATTCATAATTCAAATCTACTATGGCGATAAGTGAACAGGATAGGACTGCGAACATTCAGGCGGTGGTGTCTGTTAGCCCCTAAACAGGCCGCGCGGTAGGTGCGTCAGATCAACAGGGGGGATAGATCAAGTACGAAAGACGTTATTCGGGTTGCGCGTCAATAACCAGTGCAGAACATGGGAGGGGGGTACGTGGCGACACGCATAGAAGCAGCATCGGGCGCGCTAGCTACCTACGCCGGATTCCACCTCCGGTATTCATGATACCAGGCACAGGTGGGTGAGGGAGGAGAGAGTGCGATAGGCGCAGTACAAGCCTACTATCACTGCAAACTAATTCACGCGCAAGTTACCGTCCCCTTACCATCCTGTTATGGAGCACACGATGGACCTCATTGAAACCGACGGTCGACCAGTCGAAGTGGTGTTCGTAAAGAGGACGGTGAAGCTGGCTGTGGTGGTTCCCATTTATGTGCATGAGCATATGGCTGAGAAGAATTGGGTAGTGTTTTAATGTTCTGGGGTTACGTACGATACCGTCGTCTATACTGAAGCGCAAACACTTTTAGGGCAACAAAATGCAATCGATCACAACGAGCTAGTCACCGATGTTTGACTGCAGTCATCCGCCAATGACTGCGTTTACCGATTTAAAAGTATTCGAAGTAGCGATAACAGAAGCTAGCTAAAGCTCGTAACACAAACGTGTCCAATGGATATCCAAAAAGCTTTGACAACATTGCCTCAGACGTCAGGGTCAAGCACATTACTTCCTGCTTAATGATGATAGAGTGCCAGGGACATTTTATTCCCTACTTTATAAAAATGGAATCTCCGAAACTATCTCTCGACAACTAAGTCGCTTCGGCGTCTCCGTCTCCCACAAGCTCGCATCCTCACTCCGCGCATCCCTATGCCAAGTAAATGGCCTGTAGTGGTCGTTGCCTGCCGGACGCCTGGCCTTCCTGTCGAAGCCTTAATCCGTCTAGACCTCAAGGTCGTGGCGGCCGCCAACTTACTGGCGCGCGAGACAC